CGGTTCGACTTTGGCTCCATCCGGCTCCAGATGTTCAGGTAGAGGCAGTCCTCGCTGTAGGTAGTGGAGGTGTACGTCTTCTCAGGAGAGTCGAGGCCCAGCTGAGGGCAGTTGTCACGTGGGAAGATGGCGTCGTAGATTGGCGGCTCCTTATCATCGCCATTTTCCTGATTTTCGATTTTCGAAATCAGCTGCGCCTTTTCGAAGCGCCTCCCCGTGGCGTACCGGACCGCCTGGTAGAGGAAGACCTTGCCACCACCACCACCATCACCACCTTCTTCAACAGCCTCCACCGTACCTCGAACTCGACCTTGAGGCAGCCGAATCGTGGGCGCGTACTGAAGGTTTCCATTGAAGGCGAAGATGAAGAGGAGGACACCGAGGGCGGTGGCGGATCCTATCACCGCCACCACGATCAGAGAATGTTTCATCGTGAATGTCATTTTTTTTCAATTTGATGGTCATCAAAAGGTGAGTTTTGTTTGTTGGTTATGTTTGTTGTGCTCAACACTATCAAAGAGCGTTAGGAAAGTCCTCGATTTTGAGTCCTGCTTTTGCCAAACAGCTCTCTGGTGCTGGCTATCTTTTTGGGTTTTTTCTCTCCTATCATTTGGGTTGCCAAGCTGTCTGGTGGTGGTCATAAACAGGACAGCAGTTGTTTATGGGTTTTAAAATCTGTGCTTGGGTTAGACTTTGACGCTAATGGAATACTTTAGTATTTATTTTTATCAATTGTACAGAGGTATTTTCATCTGGGACAAATAGAATCATTGCAAAGTGAGTATTTTGCAAAGATTAATTTTATTTCTTTTAAAAAATAATCAATTACCAGGGCCCGGGACGTTGCTGAGAAAAGAAGGCAATCTTTTTTTTGTCAGGTTGCAAAACAGGCAAAAACAACAATTTGCAGTGGGGTAATCAATAGTTTCAGCGGCTAAAAAATGTACTCGCTGGCTGACTAGCTGACTTTCGCGGTAATTAATTATTAAGCGCAGTTGATGGCTTTATTTTTATTATTTTTGTTTATTAAAAATGACTACACTTGAAAATATCTTTAGAGTTCAAGAAAGAGTCTATCTGTTACACAAGTACTAAAAATACTATTTTTTAATTTTTTTTATTCAAAAAACTAAAACATTTTTAAATTTCAATCAACTTTTTTCAAGAAACAAAAATGCAATACCGCCTCATCTACGCTGAACTCCGGCGAAAGCTTCAGCTGAGAAAAACCTCTTCAGCAGAAGACGTCTTCAGCAGACGTCCCTCACCGGCCCTTCTCAAAGCTTACCTTGACCTTCTGCTGAGCGGTTTCTACTTTACCCGCGGCCTTTTGCTGGTGATTTTACATCGAAAAGGAGCCAATTCACCACCATCCTCCTCCTCCTCTTACGCCCTCCACGACCCGATCGGCTTCATCGTCCACCAGACGAAGATTGACCACTTCATCCTCAGCTCCATCACTCTCCTCATCTTCTTCTCCATCCTCTACCAGGCCGCCTTCATTCGCTCTGATAAGCGGCAGCTCGTCTGGGCGCTGCTGGAGGACATTCTCATCCGCTCGGCGGACCTCTACCGAAGCATCGAATTGGCTCATATTAAATCGAATAGGGTTCAAGTTATTCACTATCCACCAAATCGAATCCCAGTTACTCCAAAGCGGAAACAGCTCAACCACATTCACCCGCTGGCACAGCTGATCATCTCCCTCCAGGAGCNTCGAAGTGGCCCACATTAAATCGAACCAGGTTCAAGTTATTTATCCAAATCAAATCCCCGTTATTCCAAAGCGGAAACAGCTCAACCACCTTCACCCGCTGGCAAAGTGGATCATCTCCGTCCAGGAGCGGGTACTTCCGCTCTCGATTCGTCTGCAGCTCTCCAAGCTGACTGAGTTTGCCCTCTCCGAACGGCGAAAGTTGCACTACTTTCCGCAGCTGAAGAGCCGAAGCAAGTTCTACCTGGCCACTGTGATTTCCCTTCTAGAATTGGAGTTTTTTATTCTCGTTTGGCCGTTTTGTAAGTGAAAACATTTCCGTTTTGAAAAAAAAATTTTAAATACTGTTTTTTCCACTTCAGTTCTCATCGCCACTGTGATGCTCTTCGTCACCGTCACCTACGCCAGCCACTTTTTCCCCATTTACTCCTATCCATTTTTGCTGATCGACTTTCTCCTGCTCTTCTACACGCTCTTCATCCTCTACGGGCCCGTCTCCTTCACCTTCATCTTCTTCATGGTGGCCTTCAACTCGACGCTTCTGCTCAGTTTTTGGGAGATCAATCGAAAGCTCAACAAATTATTGGCCAGAAGCTATCAAAATAGTCGCCATCTGAGCTGCTCCACCACCTTTTTCACCGCCTTCCACGCCGTCCACAACCGCCTGGTGTTCTACCTGCTGCAAAGCAATCGGCAGTTCTTCGCGGACATGCTCTTCATCGGCGCCCTCTGCCTTCCGCCCGTCAACATCCTCTGGGTGGACCTCTTCTACTTCAACCGCAACCACATGACCACCATCATCCAGGTACTGCTCTTCTGCGCCATCTTTGCGCAGCTCTTCGCCGGGGCCTACGTCGTTTTGCCGGCGCTTTTCATTCCCGGCGCCGTGCATCAGTCGGCGAAGGTGGTCCCTATGGTGCAAATAGCCGCCTCCGCAGCCCCGACCGGAAAAGGTCACCTGCACTGTAAGCTACGGCTGATGGCTTTCTACGAGGCGGTCAATGTGGCGAGGAGGGTGAACATCAGCGTCGGCCCCCTGGCCCCCTTCAGCAGTCGGCTGCTGGTTGAGGTTTGTGGGGACTTGATAAGAGGATTTGATAAGGCAATTTGATAACATTTTTTATAACTAGTTCTTCTACTCCTACTTCACCTACCTGATGATGGCCGCCAGCTTTATCAATGCTGAAAAGTAGTTGGAGGAACAATTTTTTTTGCAAGAGTTTAATTTTTCTCTTCTAGATGACGTTCCAGGCAGCTCTCATTGTTACCTTTCTCATTTATATTTTGTACAAAAAAACAAATTAAACAGCAAATCAATACCACTAAAAGACCATTAGAGTCAGGGAAATCAGAGAACAAATGTGAGAAAAACAATAAAAATGGTAAAAATAGCAATTTTTTTCCTGAAAATATCGGAAACTGGCAGAATTCAATTGCCAAAAATAGGTTTGGTTTTACCAAAGTTTTTCTTTCTATCAAGTGCTGTACCTTACTACCAGAAAGTTGTAACTAGGAGCAACAAAAAGCGAAAAGTTGTGACGTAAGTGTGAAGGTGTACCTACCTAGGTTAACAATTTAGTCCCATTGGTCCTAAAATATGCACAGCAAACACAACAAAAAACTAAATTCATCAACTCTAATTTTTGCCCCACTTTTATTAATTAGTTTATTTTGGTAAATATACTGAACAAAGAATTAATAGTGTTTTTCATACAGTAATTACGTATGCAACAAATAACGAGGCAGCAACGAAATTCGACCAGCTTTGACTATAACTTGATCCTTCGAAATAAAAGCTTTACTTAAAAAATTTATTACAAAATCGATTTTACGCACTGACTGAAATGATTTGCTAGCACTGGCACTGGCACGCAAAGCCATAAATTAAAATTAAAATCAATTTTAAACTTATGCAAAACTGCAAAATTCACCGGAAAAAAAGCTGTTGACTTTCTTGCTGTCTACGCTTACCGAACAAATTGAGAACCAAAACACATTAATTACAAAAAGTTTTAACATGAAAAACTAACAAACAAACATATTTTTTCACTGTTAGGTAAACACCTTATTTACCTCTATAGTTGAAAAGGCACAAACTGTAGAAAACACTTTTATAACTTTCTTTTTCACTCCAGTAAAATGATGCCAGAATAAATTAAGGTCCTTTCTTAGTAACACTATACTGAGATGATTGCCAGCACAACACAACCCCCGCCTCTGTTAATTCTCTCCTTCTGTACAAATATTTGCTGCTCAAAAGAGAGAACGAGAGGATGAAATGAAAAAAAGAGGAAGAAGGAAGTGTACATAAGGAGAAAACCCGTATGTTTTTGAAATTTTATTCTAAGCTCAATTCAGCAGGAATAATGCCTGATCAGACGTGTTTCATCTTAGCTCGTCGTCATCGCCGCCGTCATCATCATCATAATCATCATCAACAGCACTAGATGACTAAGGTGACCTTAGCGGGGAACGTTTGAATCGATTTTTTCCTTTGAATCTAGCTCTCTCCTCTTGTGCCACTCACAAAAACACACCTGGGCTCAGCAAATTAAGTTAGTGTGTGTGTGTGCCTTCAAAAGAAAGAAGGTACAATTTACTCATTGCTCAGGCAGTTAATTCTCGCTCCCTCTTCTGACTCGGTCTGTTTGTCATCTTTTCTATTCCCTCTTCTCTTGGTCGCCAGGTGCAACGTCAAACAAACAGACGCCAAACAAGCAGGCCAGACTTCGTCTTCTTCTTTAGGAGAGAGAAGAGAACAGTTCTTTTGGGTCTGCTGTTTTCACCCCCGACAGAAGCTTACTTTTCTGCCTACTTCTTCATCAGTAGAAGCAGTGAGGTTACCTGTACACACACACATTAATTTCTGGCAGACATGATGGCCTTCTTCTTCTTCTCCCTCTTCTGCTGCTGATTTGAAAAGTTTCAATTTTTAGAAGTGCTTCAGTATTATTCTGGCAGCAGCAGAAGCTGTGGTTTCTGTCGCCTAGCAGAAGCAGTTCATCGATTGATTCTCTATTCTTTTGAGCAACAACACAAAAATTCAATTTTGTTGTACATTTTTTGCAAATATTTTTGGACATTGAAAAAGTCAACTTATCAACACTCTTATCAAGATGACCAACAGCAGCTGCGAGTACTACTCCAGCTACTCGGCAAAGAAGAGCGCCTTCCAGTGCACCGAAAAGTGGTTCCGGACGGTGCAGTCGGCGCTGTTGCTCTTCATGATCTTCTGCTTCATTGTACGACCTTCTTTTCTTTTCATTTTCCTAAAAACTTCCAAAATAACCTAAACTCCTTTTCCCATTTCACAGTTCTATATGATCACCGTAGGCATCGACATCGCCAAGCTCTCCGCCCAGCTGCCCCTCCTCCTCGTCAGTCTCTCGTTGGACGGCCTCGCCATGGCCTTCATCATCCTCGGCGTCCGCGGCGTGGCCCTCGAAATTTGGCCCTACGTCTTCGCCTTTGACCTGGCCATCGTCCTGGTGACCGTCGGCCACGGCGTCACCTTCGCCTTCCGCCACACCGGCCTCAATGCGGCCAACTTCTTCTTCGACGCCTCCTTGGCGAAACTGGCCATCCTCTACACCGTCCTCCTCGCTCGATTTGAGAAGCTCAAACCGGCCGACTACGATGTACGGCTTCGGGCAGCTGGGGCCAGTTCTGCTGCTGCTTCAGGTGCGAATAAAGATGGAGTTAGCAGCGGTGGAGTTAATGGAGTTCCCGGAGAGGGTGATCAGCTGACGCAGATGAGCGACGCCGCCGTCACGGAGATTACTGGAGTTGGACATACGGGTAAGAGTTTAGAGTTTTTGTGATTGATAAGCTTTTTAGGATTTTTTTGATAAGTTTAGAAAAGGTTTTAAAAAGTTTTTTTTATTTTAAAATCAGGCATGGAACTCTCTGATGTCATCGTGGAAACGGCCGCCAAGGCTTAATAGACAACAACAGCAACAAAATGTTTGGAAGGTAAAGGAGTTTTTGAGATTTTGATAAGATTTTCTCTGAGAGGTTTCGTGCTTTTTTGCTTTGAAAACAAAACAGCAAAAACAGTGTATTTTAGAAAAAAATGTAGAAACTATGTTCCCACCACCAAAAACCAAATAATATCCTTCTAGTCGTTAATTTTGTGTTTGAATGTTAACCAAAATACTAAACATTAAATTCATTATCGTTCTTGTTTAAAAGCTTTCATTATGCTTTGTTTATTGTGTTGTTTAACTTATCATTATTATTAGTGGTAGTAAAGTACAGTGCTTGGTACACAAAAAATGTATGTGTTTGTGTTTGTTTAGTCGTAATATAACAGACAAGTTTTGTAGTAAAAGAAGAAGAAGATTTGAGTGACCTTCAGGTAATTATAATTATCATCAAATTAAAGAGTTTAGAGCTGATTTGTTGGTTGGTTTGTTCGCAGTGATTTGAACTCAGTCGTGGACTTGGATTTGTGTTTATATTTTTGTTTGTACAGTGTTTGTTAGTGTGGGTTTGTGTTTGGAAAGAGGTTCTTTGGACCTTCAATCTCAGATCAGTTTTGTAGCAGTCAGTAAAACATTAATTGTTGTTGTTCCGCCTGCCTGGAAATGGATCGCTGCTTGTAAAGAAAGCACAGAATCAAAAGTGTAAAAAAGTGGATTTTGAGTCAAGTCTGAGTGGTATGAGTAGTGAATGTGAAAGTGAATGTGAAAGTGAAAGTCAAAAATGAATGAAAAGTTTGCAAGGAGTTCGAAGTCAAATGAACACGGAGCCAGCACACAACACAACAGTGTGAAAAATAAAAAAATAAAAATGAAAAA